AGGCGAGGGCGGGAGGGAGCAGAAGTGTGTTGTAACGTACGCTTATGCACATGTGTTCATGGGCGGCTGCATGTGTGTGTGTGTGTGTGTGTGTGTGTGTGCACGTGCTCATGCTCATGCACCTTTGCATCTTAGGTCAAGAGGAATCACGGATGCAAGTTTGACGGCCCGCATACCCACCTTCAGGTTACTCAACACACGCACGCCCACAGACGTGCAAGCCTCCGAACCTCCCTCCGCCTGCACCCTCCCTCCGTCTCCAGGCACCCTCCCGGCGCGCCTCGCGCAGCAGCGCATGCTCGAATTCATAGACCTCTCCAACAACCGCCTCGTTGCTGGCCTCCCGGCGTTTGCCGGCAACCTGGCGCCGGGGCAGCGCGTGGGGGCGTACTTTGATGTCAGCGACAACATGCTCAGCGGCAGCGTGCCGGCCGGCCTTAGTAACCTGGCTGTGTTCAACCCCAAGGTGGCGGCGCTGTACCCAACAAGAGCCGCGTGAGTGCATGGTTTCTGCGGGGGACAGGCGGAGTGGCAGGCGGAGTTGCATGCATCTGGAAGGGGGGGCGCAGGGTGCTGCGACGCGCGATTGCTGCAGAAGCCAGGAATTAGACTCCGCCGTCATGCCATTCCCCTCCCCACTTCCTGCCGTCTACCCCCTGCACCTGCATGCCACACCATCACCTCTCATCCTGTTCCCGCTCCCTCACCCCTGCCCGCAGCCCCAATGGCAGCCCAGCCAAGGCGTTTGACATCAGCGGCAACCTCCTCTCGGGGCCCGTGCCCCCCTTCCTCTGGACGCTGCTTCCGGCCGCCGCGGCCGCAGCCTGCCCGCCCAGCCCCGGCGCCCTTTACTGCCCAAACATGCGCGTCGGCCTGAGGGGCCCCCACCAGGCACTGACCTGCCCGCCGGCGCCGCCGGCGCCCCCACAGGTTGGTCCCCACCCCCGCTGGCGGGGCGCCACCCCCTCATATCCTTGTTGATGGTTCAAAGCGCATCATCACATGTTCAAAATTGTCACAGCCCTTTCATTGCACGCTTCCCTGGACCACCAGTCTGCCCTGGTCTCCCCGACAAACGCGTGCTTGTAGCCTCCTAAGGCACAAAATGTTTCCTGCGCATCCCCCCTCCTAAACGGTTCCTTTCACGCATTCTCCCACCCTACGGCCCCAGTCTTTCCTCTCGGATCAGGAGCTGGCCATGCGGCAGCTTCTCGTCAGCTGCACAGATCCCGTCACCGGAGATCTGATGGAGCTCGTCTCTGTCGTCACCGGCCGGCCCAGATCTCTCAAAGACGCATCCAACGGCGTCGCATCAACGTTCGACGACGGCATCGTCGTCCCACTTGTCGGCACGCTCGCGCCGCCCCGTCCGGGCGGCGGCGCCAGCAAGCTGCCCGCAGGGGCGGTGGCCGGCATTGTGATCGGCGTCATCGCGGCTGTGGGGATCGTCGGCGGCGCCGGCTTTGTGCTCGGCAAGCGGTGGCACGCGGCGACGATGGCGCGGCGATGGGAGAAGTTCCGGGACGAGCCGTTGCCTGCCCCGCGCGCCGCGCCGCCGGCCCGCCCGCCGTTGCGCAGCGTCGGCGGCCCCGACGGCTCCAACCTGCCGCGGTCTGGCGGCGGCGGCGGCGTGAACGGCGGCCCGCCCCGCACGACGAGCGGCGGCCCGGCGGCGGCGGCCACCAGGAACGGCCGGAGTCCGGATGGTGTGGCGCTGTCGAGCTATCCGAGCGGCGGCAGGGGCGCCAGGCCCGCTTCCGGCAGCGGCGCCGCGCCGCAGCCCACCTCCCAGAGCCGCCCCGTGCTGACGCCCGACCTCCGGAAGATCTTCGACAACAACGCGATCTGAGCGTGTGAATCTGATCCAGATCAAGTTCATACGAACCTGGTCGCAAAAACCCTGCAGTATGCACCAACGGCGCGGCCCCGCACACTGCTTTTCACTGGGCCGCGCCAGCTGCACTGACCAGTCGCGCCGCGCGCAAACCGAATCGAGGCGCGCCGTCGCTGCAGCACCGGCCCTTCTGCCGGCCGCGGCCTGGTGCGCCCCTGGCGCGGCGCAGCCTGGAATTGGCTGCGGCGGCGGATACAATCAATCGCCGCCCTCTCCATCTGAAGCCTGGCCGAAACCCTGGCTGGCTCCTCGGTCACACTGCATGCACTTGCCCCGTAGTGTAGCGGGGGCTGCAAAGAATGCGAACCGTCACATAAAGCCCCACACATTTTTTGGGCTTCCAACAGCTGGCCGCGGCTGCTAGCGCTCATCTTTTGTCGTACGCGTTTGCAGCGCGTGGACGGAGCGCACGTCATTGCTTGGCTGCGGCCGAATCTCATTTTTTTAGGGCGCTCAGCCGCGGAAGGTACTGGTGGGGTAGTTGGCACGGATGTGCCCCCAGACTAACTTTGCCAGGTGCGCCCATGACAAGCCCCGCACATGCCACTCACATATGGCGGCTGTGCTGTTGTCATGGTCGCCCTTGCTGCGCCTTACCGCACAAACAAGCGTGCCCCTCACCCCAGCCTACGTACCGTCTCCGCACGCCACCCAGCTGGGCTGCACTGGGCCAGCCAGCGGTGTACGCGGGTTTCTCTAGGGGCAGCTGTTGCGCTCGCCAGCACGGTGAGGGGCGCGCGCTTGCTTGCTGCAACCCCATTGCCGATTCGGATGACACCGTCCTTGCTTATGGGCGCCGCCCAACATGCGACTTGAACTTGCCCGATGCAGCCCGGCTCACGCTCACCGCCATCCTGAGGCGGTACCCTGCGGTCTCGGTGGCCTTCCTTCAACCGTGCAGCAGCACGCAGGCTGACTGCACACCGCCATCCGCAGCACACAGTGACTCACTTCTCACTTGGTTGGTGAGCAGAGGGGTTCAGCCCTCCTGGGATTCCTGCGGACCTCGTGCGGGCACCGCGTGCTGAAATCTTTAGCGGCAAAGATGCTGGTGCAGCCTGCAGGGGCCCCTTCACCCAGGCCCCCTCATTGCCGAGGGTTGTATCTGGCATTATTCAACACTCTGCAGCGATTTCTCAGTTCACCGCAACTCTCATCACTCGGCGCGTCTTTATCGCGCCGCACAGAAACCCCCCCTTGCGCCTTGTTTGCCATTGATGTTTGTGCCGAGTCGGGACGCATGTGCACGTCAAACCTCGAAAAAGGGCTGCGCCCATGCAAGTCAGGAACACATTTCGAACAGTTTGGGTCTGCTGTGCACAATGTGGGGGATTCAAGTTGGAAGGGAGGCTGATGCTGCCCCATGGACCAGGGGCTGGCCTCAACGCACTCGTCCTCATGCGAAAACCACCCAGGTTGCGCTGTGACGACCTGGGGGCGTCGGTGCATGGAAACAGCCTACGGCCCGTCATCTGCATGCCTCTGAAAATGGTATCGCTTGGGTCTGTGTGGGCACGTTGCAGCGGCGCCAGATGCCAGCGCAGAGCTCCAGGGGCGCCTGCTGCTGAACAGCCCAATGGTCCCCCGACAAGCACGTCGCAGTGAGAGTGTGGGCCTCGGTCACTGGACAATGAAGGTGCAGCGGGGATGAGACTGGGCCGCAATGGGCGCGGAATGGGATGATGGAAGGCCTGCAGGTGCGACAGTGCGGCCCGCAGAGCCTGTAGATGATTTTGAAACTGCCAACTCTAAGCACAGGGTTTGGCGACACGCAGAAACGATGCATGCATGGGTTGCCGTGAAGGCCGTGGGGCACGGGACGCCGTCAGCCTTGGTGGAGGCCCCTGGTTGGGCTCCAGGATGGGGTCTACCTGCACCCCCAAGAAGGTGGCGCCCTGTTGTAGGATTAAGCACGGGCGTGGGCATAAAAAGAGGGCCGCAGGTGTGTTGAGAAAAGGGGGAAGGGAGGGTGGAAAGGGAGAACAGAGTCAGTGTGCGTAAAGCGATTGGGCTGTGCCAGTCGGGCAGGACCCTGTGCCTCTGGCAATCTCAACGCCACCTGGGCCCCGTGCTGCATCCAGCAGCAGCGCCAACAGCCCTCCCTGCCAAGGTTGAGAGCGCGCAAGCCTCAAGAGAGTGCACACCTGTTTCCCGCGGAAAGCAGTGCGCACAGGCTTCCTCTTGAATTCAAGCCGTGTGTCCTTCCTGGCCTGCTCTCAGCCCTATGCCTATCCAAAGCTATGCAGGCTGGCCTGCCCCCCGCCATGGCGTCAGCGGTTGTCGAACCCGGTCTCCAGGTTGTGGGCGTAAAATCACGCCTGCCTTGGAGGCCTTTTGGGGGGTGGGGCGGTGCAGTTGCCACTGTTTAATATACGTGATGGTAGAGTGGACTGCTGCTGCTTCCACTGGTGGCTCTGGGACTATAAGAAACATGGCAAAAGTCAGCAACTGGGGCCGGGAAGTGGCGGAACAAAATGAAGGACTGCAGCTGAATTGGTAGCCCTAGGATTGTGACACGCGCTGCCAGCACCGCTTGACCCACCCAGGCGGCCTCAACCCTGTCGCCTCAGTGTAGGCCGGCCGCTCCGCGGCCGTCACTCTGCCTCGCCGGATGCTGCCAGCTGCGGCACGCCCGCCAGCTGGGCCAGGCTGTCCCTGAGCCGCCGCCGCGCGTGCTCGCTGACGCTGCCGACGACGCTGGCCACGCCTTCACGGGCGTCGACGGCCTCCTCCAAGGCCGCCTGCCGCAACAGCGGGGAGCGGGCGCATGTGCGCATGTGTTGGGGGCGCATGAGCAGGCAGGGCACCGACGAGCTCTTGTCCCTTGTTGTGCACGCGGCACGCCCAAAAACGTTGCGGGCCGTCTGCCGCTTCCTGAGGTGCCTGATGAACAAACATGGGCCCTCACACATGTGGGGTTTCGCTCCACGGGTCACCCGGCCCCCTTGCAAACCAGCCAAGAGGCAGTTGCTCGCATTCAAAGCAGGCACTCTCAGAGCAGGAGTCCCAGCTGCGCACTCCCCCTTGCGGAATGCCCCCGACAGGCCCACCTTGACTTGCGCATGCACGGCGCGCACATCGCCATGCGTCTGCAGCAGCAGCGGCACGGACCCTTGCACGTTGTCCTACGACATGGGGGGGGGGGCAGCACAGGACGCAAGGATCAGGGCGCCTCCCGAAGCCTTTTACACTCTGGCGGTATGCAACATGCGGGTTTGGGCACCGTCATCTGGCTTTGACCCTTGGCATTTTGCAGATTGAGAGCCGGCAGCGGCCAGGCTTGCCGAAGGTGGGCGGATGACCGATGGCTCACCACGACTCGCAGCAGCCCCTTGGCTGGCTCTTTTCCTAGGTCTGCCACCGTGAGAGCAACGCCATTGCTAATCTTGGAGGCTGCGCGCGTGTGGCCGGGAGTGTGTGCACCGATTTACGTAAAAGGGGCGCGTTGGGGTCGTTGCTGCCGTTGTTCGCGCTAGGCGCAAGGGGGCCGGCAGGCAGTACTTGCTGCCCGTAGACCCGGCACCTGTGTGCTGGACTGTTGTGTCCTCTGTGCGGCTGAACAGGTCCATTTCCGGCAGTGACCAGCGGCAGCGCAACGCAGCCTGCACCAGCGTGCTGGGGCCCTCTGCGACGATGCAGCGCGGTTGTCCGGCCCCAGCTGCTCTACGTGATCTATTTTGCAAAACGAAAAATCGTTCTCATGACTCGATCTAGCTTTGCCTCGTATCACCGCGCCGTGTTCAATGCCTACGTGCGTAGATCACAGCAGCCGGGACGATCAGAGTCGGCAAGCCTCACAAGGAATTATGCGTGCCATGCCATGAAGCAGCTGTCAGGCGCACGGCTGACTGAGGTCCTCTGTATTCGGCGCAGGGGACAACGAAGCTGCCCGCGAGCTGCTGCAGAGCGCTTTCAATCATTCAAGCGCATCCACGGGTGGGTGCATGGGGAGTGGGTGGGTGTTGGTGCAGGGTAGAATGGATGTTCGCGGTGCGAGAAGTGTGGCGCCCAGGCTTGGGATGCAGGGTAGGCACGTAGCGGGCGACAAGTCCTGTCCTGCAAGCTATAGAGGCCGGACGCAATGCTTGCACTTTCAGAACATCACTGCCAAAGCTAAGAGCAACAAGCGAGTGTGGTGACGTGGCACAAGGCCCATGACTGTAGCGCGACAGGACACTGAGTCAGCTGCACGACGTGGATTGTGCTGTTAAACCAACTTTAGAGGTAGCACTTGAGCCATGCGCTCGTACAAGCGGAATTTATTTCGCCCTGGGTCTCCCCGCATCACAGTACACTGCGCCAGGTGATACAGCACGTCCTCCATTGGAGTCATTCAATCTCAGTGCAGCATTCGTGAGGCTGTGCATTGGCACGGTCGAGGTGCGAAGCGTGCGTGTGCGTGTGCGTGTGTGCGTGTGCATATGTGCGTGTGCGTGTTTTTGTGTGTGTTCGTGCGTGCGTGCGTGTGTTTGTGTGTGAGTGCGTGCGTGCGTGCGTGC